GGGCAGGTCGCCACCTACATGCTGCTCGCGTCGTCGTCGTCGTTGTCGCCGCTCGTCGCTCGTCGCTCGTCGCTCATCGTCGTCGTCCGCGCGGGCGCGGCTGTGGTGCCGGAGCCGCCGCACGGCCAGGGTGGGGCGTTACGTCATACCCCCTCGCCCCCACTCCCCCCATGGCACCCGTCATCGCCAACAGTAAAGCAATGCGCTTTATACATCTGTGGCCGGCACAGATCATGGTAATGGATGAATGCGCATTGTGCACTGCATATTCAGGAAGACAACGGTTTAGTAAAACGAGATACGGATTGATTTCGCATTCATTAAGCGCAAAAGCCGGGTTATCATATTCAAAAACGAATGTTCGAACTCAGGGATTGTTATCCTAAATCGGGAATCCTATCTTTTCCATGAGTAAGGTTGGTCGGTCAATGCAGAATCGACCCCCCTGATCAACCGCAGGGCGGCTGGCTACTATTCTTGGCGTTTCTCCTCGGTTTTGGCCTCTCGGGCCTGCTGGTTGACCAGGACGTCTGCAGCCGCGGACGGACAACAATCACATCTTTGGATTTCTGGATATCACCCGCTCATGCGGTCAGGAATTCTCCGCCTGCTCTGGCCCACCAAGCCTCGGCGCGACACGCTTACCACTTCTCGGTCCCCGAACGTCAACGTCTCGAGCTTTTCTTAGCCTCCCGCTCCGTGGAGCGAAGCGAAACGCCACCCGCTCGCAGGGCATAATCAGCGTGTCGCTGGGGCCGCCGCCGCGACACGCTGGGCAAAGGTTGCCGACAGCAGCCAGGCCCATCCCCGGACCCCAGGCCACCCCCCGTGGCGCGAAGGCAGTCGCGCTTTGCGCGGCGCCGCCTGGGCCAGACGGCTGCCCTTCTCCAGGGGGGTGGCGCGCGGGCGCGAAGATGCGCGCGCGTCGCGCATCGCCGTGCGCGGTGCAGACCCGGGGCGCCCAGGGCGACCTGGAGGAGGAGGAGGAGGAGGAGGAGGAGGAGGAGGAGGAGGAGGAGGAGGAGGAGGAGGGGGGGAGGAGGAGGGAGGAGGAGGAGGAGGAGGAGGAGGAGGAGGAGGAGGAGGAGGCGGGGAGGAGAGGAGGAGGAGGAGGTGAGGAGGAGGAGGAGGAGGAGGAGGAGGAGGAGGAGGAGGCGGGGGAGGGAGGAGGAGGAGGAGGAGGAGGAGGAGGGGGGAGGAGGAGGAGGAGGCGGAGGGGGGAGGAGGAGGAGGAGGAGGAGGAGGAGGAGGAGGAGGAGGAGGAGGAGGAGGAGGAGGAGGAGGAGGAGGAGGCGGGGGAGGAGGAGGATGAGGAGGAGGAGGATGAGGAGGAGGAGAGGAGAGGAGGAGGAGGAGGAGGAGGAGGAGGAGGGGAGGAGGCGGGAGGAGAGGAGGAGAGGAGGAGAGGAGGAGGAGGAGGATGAGGAGGAGGAGGAGGAGGAGGAGGAGGGAGGAGGAGGAGGAGGAGGAGGGGAGGAGGAGGAGGAGGAGGAGGAGGAGGAGGAGGAGGAGGAGGAGGAGGAGGCGGGGGGAGGAGGAGGAGGAGGAGGAGGAGGAGGAGGAGGAGGAGGAGGAGGAGAGGAGGAGGAGGAGGAGGAGGAGGAGGAGGCGGGGGAGGGAGGAGGAGAGGAGGAGGAGGAGGAGGAGGAGGAGGAGAGGAGGAGGGGAGGAGGCGGGGGAGGAGGAGGAGGAGAGGAGGGAGGGGAGGAGGAGGAGGAGGAGGAGGAGGAGGAGGAGGCGGGAGGAGGAGGAGGAGGAGGAGAGGAGGAGGAGGAGGAGGAGGAGGAGGAGGAGGAGGAGGCGGAGGAGAGGAGGAGGAGGAGGAGGAGGAGGAGGAGGAGGAGGAGGAGGAGGAGGCGGAGGCGGGGGAGGAGGAGGAGGAGGAGGAGGAGGAGGAGGCGCGGTGCCGGTCGCATCGCCGTCGCGCACTCGGGCGACCCGGCCTCGCCCGGCCAGGGAGGCACTCTGCGCCGCCCGCCGTGCGGCTCCGGCCGGTCGTCGTCGGCGTCGGCGTCGTCGTCGTTGGTCGCCAACACGAGGAGGAGGCGGAGGCGGAGAGATGAGGAGGAGGAGGAGGAGTTGGAGGAGGAGGAGGAGGAGGAGTAGGAGGAGGTGAGGAGGCGTCGTCGTCGTTGGTCGCGTCGCTGCGTTCGTTGGTTCGTCGTCCTGGTCCCACCGTCGTCCGCCGCCGTCGTCTTCGCCGAAGATGATGATGATGATGATGATGATGATGATGATGATGATGATGATGATGATGATGCTGATGCTGATGCTGATGCTGATGTTGATGCTGATGCTGATGATGATGATGATGATGGTGATGGTGATGGTGATGGTGATGGTGATGATGATGATGATGATGATGATGATGATGATGATGATGATGATGATGATGATGATGGTGATGGTGATGGGTGATGGTGATGTGTGGATGGTGATGGTGATGGTGATGATGATGTGATGCTGATGCTGATGCTGATGATGATGATGATGATGATGA